GAAAAGTCTTCATTCAGATTTTTTTGTGGGGAGGGTTTTTTGTGGTGCTTTGGTTTTTTGTTTTTTTTTTTTCTTTCTCTGGGTATATTGAGATTTGGCCTTTTGCAGCAAAATGACTGAATCTGTAGTTAGGCTTATAGCATACACCTGAAAATTCTAAAGACTGATGGCTGATTAAGTCTCATCAGCTATAGATTTCAATATGCTAGGATCAAAAAGCATGTGCCTGCTGGAAAGATCAATATTTCTAATGGTTTTCATAGTTGTTGAATTAAAGCTATATTGTTTTCTTCTTTCTTGTTTTCCCTTTTCTCATTTTGATAATCAATATGAATTTTGTGTGAGTCCAAATGAGAATACCTAATCCAGTCTAACACACTGTGGGGGTGTTTTTCCCCACAAGAAAAACAACCTTTTTAAATATGTTTTTGTGAACTAATTTGACATTCTGGACTGAATTATTCAAATGCATTTGCTGACTTGTAAGCAAAGCTTTTAGTTCATGTCTGTTATTCAAGATCCTTTAAAGGTCATGGGCTTTCTTTTACATATTCAACAGGTATGTTTTTCATTGTAAATCTTGACTTTAAAACCAGAGTAAATGTGGTTTTAAAGTAAGAAGTCTAAATCTTTTCATCTACAGAATCCTTCTAAATAAGGAGGGAAAGTGCATTGGCTTTTAATTTTTATAAATGGAACAATAGATCTCTCATGGGCATAATAAACTGATTTATCTGTGAAGCCTTTCATAAGATTTAATTGAATTCTCAGCAAAGCAACTGAAATTTTGTTTGAAAGACAACACTTGCATTTTAAAATGTTACTTTTTCCCCTGGGCTGTAATTAAGTTGCATTTAGATGGATGCTTTTTATTTTTACTTTTCTTATGCTCATGCCTACTACTGGATTCTGCCTTGGATGATCCCTTAGCTTAAAATAACAGGCTTTAGTCTTCCAGCTGCAGAGGCCCATGAACAGACTTTATTTTTCATGAAGTCTTTATCTTGGATGTAGCTATTCATTTCCAAAGAACATTAACTTTCTGCCATGGCATCACTAAACTCTGTTTCTTCATGCATGTAGATGATGCCTGAACCCCAAAAGTGCTCTCTTAAATTCAAAGACCTCCAACCTTCATTACTTTGGCCTTGAAAATTATTTTCTATGGATCATATTGCCTCTGAATTCCTCCTCTTAGCTTGTTGCTCTGGGCTGCCTCTTTAGTCCATTAATGCACAAATACTTTTGTCTGCTTCTCTAACTCAGTTCTCAGCTGCAGGCTGGATAGAGATCTGCTCAATATTGACTTCAGCCTCTGTGTCACTGTCAAGCCTCAGTGTCATTCTTCAACTAACAAATTCTCCCACAGAGACTTTTTTACTCAGTCCTGCCTTTCCTCTGAAGCATGAGAAACACTTCAGCAAACCTGAAAAAAATTCCTTCCTTATCATCTTTCCCACTTTGCAGCTCATCTCCACCATGGTCCTACAAATCCCAGATTTGGTGGGAAGGCAGATAATCTAATAATCTAAAACTGTATTTTCCTAATTTTTTTTTTTTAGTTCTGTATAAAGTAATGCTATTCACTAAAATTTGTGCAGTTAAAGCTTTCTTGTTCCATTTCTGACATTATTCATTTGCCTGAATATTTTATTAGTATTCTTTTTTTTCTTTTTCTACACACTGTAGGACTCGAGGGCTTTGGGGGCACAGGTGGAAGGAGGTCTAAATATTCGAACCTCTAATATATGCTAATATTTGCTGCTATAGCTGTGTCATTGAAAATGACACACACAGTTATTGGACCAGTCTGTGCATGTTGGAGAGAGTCATATGACTGTGGAAAAATGAGGTAGAAATGAGTGGATTAAAACAGAAGACTTCTTGATTATTTTTTTCCCCTTTTTTCCCGTCTGTATATAATGTGTGCTGGAAACTGCAACTTTAAGGGCTTTAGCATTTTGTATCTTACAGAGGCTAAAATTATTCCATGTTGGTTAGTTAAAATATAGTCTTTTGGGGTTGGCTAACATAGAAAAGGTACAACTATTGTTGAGCCATATGATGTCCCTGAATACCAACACTTTATTGACAACCTGGGGTTTTAAAATGTTTTAAATATATAAGGACTTATAAATGCTTTGAGGGCATTCTGTTTAGCTATAATCCCTGGGACAAGTGTCTTCTCGGTCAGGACACCAACATACTCTTGGAATATAAACAGCAAGTAAATAATTGTGCCACAAATATATACTTGATAAAACTTCTAATGACCATCTGAACATGCTCAGAGCAGTAATAGCTATCTGCAGTGTGATGAGCTTGAAAACATTTTAGGCAAGTCTGGTGCATCAGGAGTGAGTTTCTGCACTAGAACACAACTGGGAGAGTTAGTATGTATAATGTATATATTAACATAATGCTTTATATAAGATGTATGTGTGAATATGGCTATATAGAGAGGTTTCTGTGCAGTTTTCTTCTGAATAATAACCCTTATCATACCCAAATGCTATTTTGATTGCTGATTTATTTGCTGTGGTGGCAGTCTGGCTTTATAATACAGTCTGGCTCTGTGCTGAATAGCTAATATAATCCCTGTTCCGAGGATCACTGTGCTTTTTGTTTAGCTAGCACTGGATTGCACTTTGGTGTAATTTTCTTACTGGGATTTACATGTTTCTCCATGAACTGTCTTTGAATCTCATCCATTTTCCCAAGGAGGAAATGACAAATCATCTCAGTAAGTGTGGCAGAAGCCAAGCTGGGGAATGACTGATTAAAAGCTCATTTCCTTTACTTTGTGTAGTTCTTTGTGGTCAGAAGAGTTTGCTCAGCACCTTAAGGCAGCTGTGGCACCCTTTTCACCCTTTTCCATTTTGTGTAGTGTGCGTTATTGAGATGGAGGTATATCAGTCTTTAACTAAACTCCTTTCTTGCTGGAAGGAGTAGGCCAACTTGCTCAACTTGATCGTTTGTTCCATTACTGCAGCTGATTCATCAGTCTCAAAGGCTCTTCTTAGGCACATGTGACATGATGGCTGAATTAGGTTGAAGCGCTTCATGTGACTGAATCCTTAATTTCATAGACCATGCCAAAAAAACCAATCTAAATAAGCCCCTTGGACTGAGGGAATTTAAGGGCTGGTTTGGGCTGAATTTCATCAATAAAACCTACTTGGTAGCAAGGAGAAGGTCCAGGTAAAACTTGAAACCTTAAATGTATGACATCAGTTGCTTTTTATTAATTGCAAGGAACTGTCAGAAAGCTGTTAAATCACTGACTACTGGCGAAAAGAATAAAAAAATTAGAGGTCTGTCTGGCACCAGATGAAACACATTTCTGTGTGAAAGACGATTGGCACTCATTCAGATAGTGGGGACCCTGAAAGTAGGTAAAGAAAGGTTATCTCTTCATTAGAGTACTTTAGTGGTGTTTTAATTATTTTTTTATTATTTTTTAAGAATAAGATAACCTTCAAAAGATTTAGTTTCCATCCTTGAAAGTTATGTGGGTGAGCCATTTGACTACAAAATGAGACAATGCAGAGGGTTGTGAGGAGTATAATCACTTATATTTACGCAGCTGATGAATCAAACTAGTCAGGCAGTCTAGTTCTCCAACATGCTTTTAACAAACTAATCACAGGAAAACTGGAATTGAGTGCAGCAGTTTTATTGAAAAAGTCCACAGGTGTGTGCAATTCCTTTATTAAAATGTTTTCAGATACATTGGACAAGGAGCAATTGATGGTCAAGAGATATTCCTTTTTATTTTATACATTTTTATTTCCAAAACTATACAAACATTGGAAAACTTTCCTTTTCCTCCGTTTTAACTTGTAATAATTCTGTAATGATAAGTTATAATCTCCCTTTTCAAGCTGCAAGCCTACTTTCCTGGAGGTGACATTTTGCATCTTTGACAATTAAAAAAAAAGGTCAGTCATATTTACATGTGCTTAAGGTTGCATAATTGAGCATCATACAGGTTCTGAAAACCAGTGGATAAATGGTTTTCAAGATTCACCCAGTTGGGTTGAAGGTTTTAAATACACATAACTGCATACATATGATTTAGTAGCCAAGACACCCTTTGTTCCCTTTTATTTTCAAGGCTCTCTAAACTGTGTGCTAGCCATAGTAAAGGTTTGTTTTAGTAAAGGTACTCACTGAGTGAAAAGCAGCACTGACAACAACTATTGCTGATCAAGGACATGGATGGGCAGCAAATTGTGTGTGTATATATAATACAAAATCTAATGTTTCAAAATTAACTTGAAGCTCTTATGTAAAAATAATGTCTAGAATAAAAGCTATTTCCTGGACTGGATTAAAGAATAAAAGACCTCCACAAACACTTGTGTAAGGAAAGAAGTAGAGCTCAACATGGGAAAACAACAATAGAAGCACATGGATTAAATTCGGAAGCTGATCTTGCAATGTATAATTACTGGAGATTCAGTTGAAATATAGCAACATTATCAAAGGAAAATGAAGGCTACAACTGCAGCAGACACATACATTACATTTTATGAGCTATTATATTGGCCATACAGATTTGTCTACATGTTATTTATTTGAATCCTTAAGGCTTCTCTAATGTCTTACGTGAAAGTGCTGTCTGCTTGGATCTTCCATGCATGAGGGAAAGGGGCAATTTTTCAAGAAAAAAAAAAAGGTTTGTCCACATTTCAATTACAATAGCACATCCAGAGACACAAAATAAAAGACAAAACTTTATAGTACCTTTTCTCATTTATTTTGGCCCCCAAAAGATGCATGCACTAGACTTTATGTACTACAAGGTATTGAAATATTTACAGCATTGTACATGTGCTCTTAAAGGGATGGCAAAGGGAAAGGTCTATTTTCATCTTGGTGGGAGTAGAAGTTAACTTTCCTAGCTTAATAATACCTATTCAGTGTGATAGATGACTCTTCCAAAAAGAAAAGCCCACAGAGAATAAAGCTATAACATAATTATAGCCAATGTTAACAAACTGTACAGCACTTTACCTGGGAATTCTTCTTGCTCTCCCTCCTGTTTGGAACTGCAGTACTAACCATTCTGTGATGCTGCTGTACTCCCCATGCCCTGTCTGCTCTGTTTCCCTCAGTTCCAGCAGGTATAGCTGTATATTACCTGTTTATATGATTTTATTTTCAAATTATTTTTGGCATATGGAATGGACATATAATTCACAATAACCTGATGGCAATTTTTGGACAAATGATATGACTGATATTTACGGGGTTATGGCACTAAAGAATTCAGACCACTATTAAAGCGCATCATAAATATTTCAAGTGGATTTAGGAAACCATCTCTCTAAGAAATTCAGTGAGTAAGGCTGATATCACTGATTTCCTTCTGCTTTTAAAGGTAAAGATATGATACCCAATAGACCAGGTTAAACAAACAGAAGGCAGTTGGGAAGAAGATGCGGGCATAGGAGTCCATTTTGGCAATGCGGATGTGTATTCTTCCATGCCGCCACGCTCCCGTCCGACAATCCTCAAAGCAGCAAAAAAAACTGGCACAGTCCTTGCCATCAAGACACTCATACCCATATTCTTCATCCCTTTCTTGGAGGTGTGTGGCATTGTTCATTTGAATAGTAGCTGATCGAGGCCGGATGTCAATAGTCGGTGCCTAAGGTGGAGTAGCAGAAACAGAAAAAGACGCGGGGGGAGAGACTTTGTTACTATCACCAGGACTGGGAGAGACATATGAATGGTCAACATGTGCATGATGCTTCTGTGTGGGGCACGTGGGAAATTGCTGAGGTGTTCTAATGGGAATATTACCTTAAAGTTTTTATAATCAGTTGCATCATACACTTTAGCTTTACAGGAAAGCAGCACAAATGAAACTGGAGTTAGCAGCTGTGGGCAGTTAGCTTCAAAGCCAAACTAAGTAAACATTAGAGGTTAACTGAAACATCCAGAAATGTAATTTGCGGTATTTTAAATTTCTTTTTTTGTTTTAGATTTTACATAGTTGCTTGATATCTGAAAGCGATTTGTGTATAGCACATGGAAGGAACTGAACAATTGGAAATGCAGGATTTTACTAGGGCTGGTTCATGTTGAGGCTGGAACAAATATACATAGGAGCAAAGGCAAAAATTGGATCTTTTGAATAAGGTTAGGAGAACCTCTATAAGACTCTCCAATAATCTGAATATATGCAGTTCACCACCTACTAATGTTCACCAACTAGATGGTTCAACGTGTTCCAAATTTTATATAGTAGCTGTACATACATATATATACACACACATATATATTTAGAATGAATTGAGCAAATTAAGCATTAAAACACATTTGAGCACTTGGCGAATAAGGTTAGGAGAACCTCTATAAGACTCTCCAATAATCTGAATATATGCAGTTCACCACCTACTAATGTTCACCAACTAGATGGTTCAACGTGTTCCAAATTTTATATAGTAGCTGTACATACATATATATACACACACATATATATTTAGAATGAATTGAGCAAATTAAGCATTAAAACACATTTGAGCACTTGGCGAACACTAGGAGGCACTGAA